AGCTCTCTGCTGTGGCCAGGGAGTGCAGTGGAGGATGGCCCAAGTGCTTGGACCCTGCACCCCATGGGAGACCAGGAGAAGCACCTGGCTCCTGGCTTTGGATCTGCGCGGTATGCTGGCCGCAGCGTGCCGGCCACAGTAGTCATTGGGGTTGTGAACCAACTGAAAAGGAAGACCTTTCTCTCTCTGTCCACTCTGCCTGTCCAAAAAAAAAAAGAAAAGAAAAGAAAAGTAATATAATTTTCTCTATAGGAATAGCACAAACAAAAAACTAGATATGTGGAGTTCATTCATGATACAAACTCTTAGCAAACCAGAAATAGATGAGATCATTAGCTATCTCAATAAAAGGTGAAAACCATTAGCAATTGCCATACCTAACATTTAAACTTAACTTTTTCTGATACCGTTGAGCATAAGGCAAAGATGTCTGCTCTCATCCCAACCTGCTAAAATTTTATTGGAAGCTCTAGTTAAAGCACTTTGGCAAAATAAAAACAGAAAACAAGTAATGCAACTGCCATTATGTGCAAAAAATGTTAAATATATTGAAAATTCTACAGAAACTAAAAAAAAAAGTTTGCGAATCAATTACACATGCCTGCTGTGTATATTTTTGACACAAAGTTATCAAATTTGTAGAAATTAGAAATAAGCCTTTGAAAAGTAAATGACCCTAAACTAACCTTTTCCTAAGATTTAATATGATGTAAATCATCTCCACATTTTCTCAAATAATAAGCTAGAAGTTATGTTTTTTATTATTATTATTATTTACAGGCAGAGTGGACAGTGAGAAAGAGAGACAGAGAGAAAGGTCTTCCTTTGCCGTTGGTTCACCCTCCAATGGCCGCCACGGCCGACACTTTGCGGCCAGCGCACCACACTGATCCGAAGGCAGGTGCCACGTGCTTCTCCTGGTCTTCCATGCGGGTGTAGGGCCCAAGCACTTGGGCCATCCTCCACTGCACTCCCTGGCCACAGCAGAGAGCTGGCCTGGAAGAGGGGCAACCGGGACAGAATCCGGCGCCCCGACCAGGACTAGAACCCGGTGTGCCGGCGCCACTAGGTGGAAGATTAGCCTGTTGAGCTGCGGCACCGGCCCGAAGTTATGTTTTGTTTCTTCACTTTTTTCACGCATGTTATATTTGTACAATTGTAGTTGTCATCTATGCTGATGGAGAAAGAGGGGTATAGCAAAAGGGATACCTACACATATTTATGTATATAAAATAACACATGTATCATAGTTTACAGGAACTATTGTTTATAGATGCTAAACATACTCTGGTAAAAATGCACCTGTTACAATTTAATCACATTTCATAATTAATGTATTTTATTATCAAAGGATGATTTGTGATCTATTTTTAAGTTGTAAAATTTATAGGTTTCATGCAAGCAGGTATACTAGTCAACTGAGTAAAAATGTAGCTGAACCTTTTTAGAAGAATAAAAATAGCCTTGGTAGCTCATGACAAGAGCCTAGGGTGATTACTAATGCCATAAATAAGAGTGTCAATTTCTTAAGTCAACAACAGGAGTCACTGTGCACTTACTCCTCATGTAGGATCTTTGTCCTTAGTGTGCTGTACATTGAGATTTAATGCTATAACTAGTACTCAAACAGTATTTTTCACTTTATGTTTCTGTGTGGGAACAAACTGTTGAAATCTTTACTTAATGTATGCTAAACTAATCTTCTGTATATAAAGAGAAACGAAAATGAATCTTGATGTGAATGGAAGGGGAGAGGGAGTAGGAAAGGGGAGGGTTGCGGGTTGGAGGGACGTTATCGGGGGGAAGCCATTGTAATCAATATTCTGTACTTTGGAAATTTATATTCATTAAATAAAAGTAAAAAAAAAAGAAGAAGAAAAATAAGATAACATAATTTCCACCAAGTTATGCAAATGGAAACAGACATCTATACCTTTATATTCCCAGCACAAAAACTATTTATATAGACTCATCTAATTCAGGATTAATGAAACAATCAGCTTCTGTTTTCTTAACAAATGCAATATGCTGTGCAATTTTGCATATTTCTATCTCTCAATGTAACTAGAAGCCATCTCAGATGAAATAAAACTTTAAAATATTGCAGTAATATGTGAAGCAAGATAATTGCTGCTCAATAATGCAGAAAATAATGTCTATCACTGGCAAAAATTCTAGAATAACACCTGAAGCACATTTTTCGCCATAGTATTTATTAGTACAGCTTGCACATTATGCCATGGTTAACTAGCAGTAAGAAAATTGCTAGGCTCTAAAACATAAAAATAAATTTAGTTCACACCTGTGTTCACTGCCCTGTATGTTTTCATCTGTTTAGTTTGGTTGAGAACATAGAACTACATAATTATCTTTTACTATCAATTTTTATGGCCAAAAATTATGCAGGAAAAAAGTTAACACTTTCTGAAATTTAATTAAAAGTTTACAAAAAATAGTTCAAGCTTTGTTTGGTTTGTATTTTGATTTCATTCATCATGTAAGGAATTACTGTTTCTATTTTTTTAAGGTTTATTTATTTGAAAGTCAGAGTTATACAGGGAAAGAGAGGGAGAGGGAGAGAGAGATAGAGAGAAGTCTTCCATCTGCTGGTCCACTCCCTAACTGGCCAGAAAGGCCAGAGTTGCGCCGATCCAAAGCCAGGAGCCAGGAGCCTCCTCCAGTCTCTCACGCTGCTGCAGGGGCCCAAGGACTTGAGCCAACTTCCACTGCCTTCCCAGGCCAAAGTAGAGAGCTGGATTGGAAGTAGAGCAGCTGGAACTCAAAACGGCCCTCATATGGGATGCTGATAATGCAGGCGGCAGCCCTACACACTACACCACAGCACAAACCCCAAGAAATTACTGAACCTCACATAAGGAGCAATAAGAAAAATTATAAAATTGAAATTATTTATTGAAATTAAAAGCAGTCCAAATGAAATGATGTCAATGTAGTTGAAAATAAAAGTTCTTTTCTACATTTGAAGCATAGTTTTTTTAGGAACAAACAAGTTCCAGTTTTGCAATTATACTATCATTGATTCATAAAATGTTTAACATAATTCAATTACTTCTGAGTACTATTTTAATGTGTTCATATTTTCATGAAATTAACACTACAAGAATCATTTACTTGAGTTGCTCCTTTGTGGTCTATGATAGCACCTAAAATGTTTTCCTTTCTCCATTATTGTATATGTATATCAAAAACTGTGAAATTATATGAGCTTAAAATAAATTTAAAACCATAGGGAAGAGGTTAATTAGAAAATTGTTTATCTAGCAAAGTCAAATTGACCGGAAAAAAATTTTTTTAAAGATTTACTTATTTATTTGAAAGGCAGAGTTACAGAGAGGCAGAGGCAGAGAGAAGGAGAGGTTTTTCTTCTGCTGGTTCACTCCACAAATGGCTGTAGTGGTTGGAGCTGGGCCAATCTGAAGTCAAGAACCAAGAGCTTTCTCAGGGTCTCCCATGTGCATTCAGGGGCCCAAGGATTTGAGCTATCTTCTACTGCTTTCCCAGGCCATAGCAGAGAGCTGGGTCGGCAGTGGAGCAGCTTGGGCTACAACTGGTGCCTATATGGAATGCTGGCACTACAGGCAGTGCCTTTACCTATTACTCCATAGCACTAGGCCCAGCCAGCAAAATTTTAAGCTTTCATGATTTCTAAATCAATTTTGTGTTTTTAAAATAAATTTAGAAATAGAATGGAGACAAACTTCAAATATAGCATTTTAAAAAAGAAAATAAAAAAATCAGAACGTTAGTCTACTGTTTCTTATGTGTTCCTTAGTTTGGAATTTGATAACCATCTTGCACAATAGTCATTCTGAACTTCCTGGACCATGATGGAAACCCTTTAGACTATCCTCGTTCCTGAATTCATTTGGAGAACAATGCAGAGGTGAGACTTTTGTTTGTTTTATTTTTAATAATTACTTTCCTACTATGCCTTATAGATATCAGGTTTCTTATTCCTGGTGTAGTACCAGCATACCAGTTTTGACACTTTATTAATAAACTGTTAAATGCAGGTGGTAAATGAAGTAGAAAGAAATGGTAAATAAATCCTCCAAATTCACACAATTAGAGACTGGCAAGTATTTTTTCCAAATATATGACTGGCTCAACCATTTTTACTTTAAAAACTAGTTGTTTTATCTCTACATCCAGGAAATGAAACAGTCTCTTGTGTGGCAAGAGAGAACTAATTGTTTGTTTGTTGTTTATTTATTAAAATGTTGCAGTATGTTTTTGGTTGATGTCTGTGATCCGGGACAGCATTGTGGCACAGCAGGTTAAGCCAGGGCCTACAACACCAGCGACTCCTACATGAGTGCCTGTTTGAGTCATAGCTGCTCTGCTTTTGATTCAACTCCCTGCTAAAGTGGTTGGAAAGCAGTGGAAGATGGCCCAAGAGTAAGGCCTGTGCCACTCATGTGGCAAACATGGATGAAATGCCAGGCTCCTGACTTGGGTTTTGCCTAGCCCCAGCCAATGCAGCCATTTTTGGGGTAAAACAACAGATGAAAGATTTCCTTCTGTCTCTCCTTCTTTCTTTGTCAATCTGCATTTCAAATAAATGAAATTTAAAAATAAAGCTTCATGACAAATGACATGTTAATTGTGAAAGATATACCATTGATGAGTCACTGATGTGTAAGAACCTAAAATTCTTAAACTGCTTTCTAAAATGTTATAATATATATACACATATATACATATATATATATAAAATATATTTTGCTTAGGAAAAATACCTGCAAGTGTATCTCCTTCTAGTTGTCAACTTTAACAATTTACCTGATTTCTGTTAATAAACAGAATTAATCCTAAGTAGTATTTTGATAAAGACAGCAAAAGATACAACATTCAAATTTGATAAGCATGTAACTTTGATATGCTATTTTTTCATGCTTATTATACAAAAGTTAAAGCTTGGCAGGACATGTTATATTTTTACAAACTGTAAATGTACCTGTGAAGAATGATTCCAACTCCTCTTGATAATCAGGTTATAGCTGCTGTTGCTGCTTTTGCAGCTGCTGATCTGGGATTCCATTGCTGTAAGAAATACAGGTGCTAGTTATTACACATTACTTTAAGAAGAAAAATAATTATGTGAAAATATGATTTTATGTTACATAGTTATTATTTTACAATTATTTATGACCATATATAATTACTTTAAAGAATTATTTCTTTTACTTTCCTATACAGTAGCTGACTAAGGAACAAAGTACAATCATTATTCCTAAATTATGTATTTGGAATTTCCAAACAATGTCATCAGCTATTCAATTGTTAATTTTCCTTTTTTTTCCCAAAAACCTTTTATTTAAAGTATATAAACTTCATGTATTTCATAAATACAACTTGAGGAACATAGTGATTCTTCCCACCCTACCTGCCTTCGCACCAGCACTGCCACCCTTCTTCCTCCTTCTCCTATTCCCATTTTTATTTTTCACTAAGATCTAATTTCAAATAACTATATACACATAAGATTAACTCTATACTAAGAAAAGAGTTCAACAAATAATACGAATAAAAACTGCTCCTCAACAGGCAAGACAAGGACCTTTCAAAGTCATCGAATCTCAAACTGTCAATTTCACATCTATTAATTACCTTTTAGGTGCTCTATTCATTATGTTTGAATAAATCTTTCAGGTGCCATCATATGATTGAAAGTTTTTGCATGACAGTAAATGTTGATATTTTAATATTCTCAAATAAAGAAAGGGAAGGATAAAGAGATCATATGTGGTTTTTAAATATTGTCTTCTTCAGCAAAAATTTTTACCACTCTTCTTGTCTCCCAACAAGGTTTGCCATCAGAGCCTTGTCTAGAATGGATGAAGTAAGACAGATTGAGATAACTGTAAGAAAATGCACTATTTCCCATAAGAAATACTTTACTGTAGAAGATGCTCATATTTTTAGCTATTCTGCTAACACAGAATTCAGATGAGTCACTAAGTATTTGTGATTTGGAAATATATTTAACATGAAAATTAAACAATAGAAAATAATAATAGAATATGTTTTTGTAATGGACTCAACTCTTTCATGTAGGCATAATTACACTGGAGTTTAAGAATTCTCAGCACTAAAATATTTTAAGTTATTCCATTTATTTATTGTTAACCCAAAACATAATATTTATACTATGTACTACTTAAAATGTGATCAGGATGGTCAGCACTATTATCACAGTGGAGTTTGAAATGAAGAATCTTAGCCCTTCCCTCTCTGCACTGATAGGTAATTTGCTTTTTACCAGGATCCCATATGGTTTCCATATTTAATCAAATGTAGAAAACTTTCCAGAAACCAATGTAATTCAATAAATACTAAACTCTAAAATATGTTGTTTTGCATATAATTGTATTCATAAAGTTTGCTGATTAACTATACTTTGCATATAATGAAAACTGTCATAGTCGTGTTATTAGGGAAGTATCAGTTATAAATAACACACGCAGCAAAAATGCCCTAACAGCAAAAGCTAAACATATAGTCTATAATGAATTTCAGTCTCACATTGTTCCTTGATTGGTTTATATATCAATACATTCAATGAAATAAATGTTTATATAACATAACAAAAATAATCATGGTAAATATGTCATTATTGAGATATAACTTAAGAATATAGAGTAGAGGAGATTTAACACGTTTGTTCCTGCAGATGGAACAAAACTCTGTGGTTATCGCCTAGGACTTTTTTCATCAAGCTATTCTGACTCATTTGTCCTTGGTGTCCATAAGCCATGTTGACCACAGGAATAAGTCAAACTTCACTCTGGCAAAGCAAATGATTTATGGTTTTCATCCTGAAATTTAATACCTAAAAGTGATTGCATTGTCACAATAAACCATTCTCAGGCCATCCCTCTCATTGAATGCCATATAGCAAATGTTTATTTTACAACAAAAGCCATTTAAAGTTTTGACTCAACTAATAACAGTTCTCTGAAACAGTGAATCTGGGAAAAACCACCTTTAGTTTTTATAGTGGAAGCTATTAAGATTTGAGAGAATGTCCTTACTTTAAAGTCCCCTTCCTATTCTAGATCCCATACAGTTATTATTTCAGTGACTGGAATGCAAATGGACAGTACACTAAGTTCCAATCTGTCACTACATACCATCAATTGAACAGATAATATTCTTAGGCAACAACACTGATCCCTTACCCACCTGCACATTCCTGAAGAAATAAAAGTTGCTTTGACGTTGTAAAAAAAATGAAGTTCAGAAGCACAAACTTTATTATTCTTCTGTAATAATTTTCTAAAATATATGATTTACAACATGTATAGTTCCTATTATGCTCAATAATTTTCATTTATTTTTAGATTTTGATTCATTTTAGGATTCAAAATGGCTTGTAAATACAATTCTAAGAACATAATTATATTTCCTTCTCCCTACCCCTCTCCTTCCCACCCTCCTTCCTTCTTAATTTTTTCTTTTTTTTTAGTTTTTTAAATAATGAATCTTTAATTTACATTTCAGTAAAAAAGCTTAATGCTTCCCAAATAAGAAAGTTAACAAGTATAAAGCAAAAAGTCCTTGGTTTATTGGGAATATAGACAATGGCTGGCTATAAATAGTAAGTAAATGGAAATTATTTTACACAATGAAATGGTTACAACCATTCATCACAGTTGCTTCTTTTCCTTTGATTTTTTTTTCTTTTCAACTTTATTGTTAATGATAAACTTAAGTCACAAGTGTTCATCCATCTAAGCATTTTTTTTTCTGAAATGTATTTTAACCAAGAGTTTAGGATTTAGGAACATGGGGAGCAAATCTGACAATATGTAAATTTACATTCTCTTGAGCTTGTTTTTCAGAGGACCCAAGGACATTTATCTTGCAATATTATACTCAGAGGGGCCCAGATCACCACAGACAAGGAATGCTACAAGGTGTGTGTCCAGATTGTTATGAAGCCCCTTCTGTCATTTTCTATTTACTGCTCAATTGGAGAACTTATTTGTGGCTTAGACGGCACCTTTTTTGGGTTCTCTAATAATGACTCTGTCCTTTGTTCTAGACCCTGACTACTGCTTGGGGCCTCATTCCTTTGTAATCATAGCCTCTACTCTAACATCAATGGCTCTACTCCAGACCTGTGTGTATCGATGGTCCCCTACCCCACTTAATGTTGTATGATTATTCAGAATTTCTCTACAGACAAACCCCTCTACCTGCAAAAGATGAGTGATTTTTTCCCAGTCTAGGTGGGATTAGCATTAAACCACATCCATCAGTCTTCACAAGGGTCCAGAGATCCCCTCATTTTCTCTCCTCTGAAATCCTCTCATGACTTGGTTCATGCCACTACTAGGACCATTGGTTGCTATTCTTACCCTGTCTTTTATACATCGTGTCTGTTTAAGTGTTTACAGGAACAAACCAAGGCCTTCGCCAACCAGGCAGTCAACCAAATGCTGCTACAGGGATGGGCTCAGTTTCTCACCCAGGGACAGCAGCTTGAGACATTACCCCATGCCAGCAGAGAGTATCTTGTTGTCCCAGGTCAGCAGGAAGTAGCTCTGAAGACAAATCATCTTCCCTCTCCTCCTCCTGGACTTTTGGGGTTAATGTAATCTCATACAACTCTTGCTATATTAAAAAAATAAAAGGGAGGAATGTTAGTAAAATGGCACAGTCTTATCTAGTGCAATCTATACCCCAGATACCATCCTAGGCTCTAGCCCTTGCCGCCATTGCTGGAAGCCAGGTGGCCACATGGCCCAACCACCAGTGTCAGTTCTACCCCCATCTTAATGGGATTCCCTGCTCCTACTTCCCTGCCTGCTCCCCAGCAAAGTTTTTTTTTGTTTCCAGTTATTAACTCTATTTCTCTCCTTCCTTTCATAGTAAAACTGCTTCAAGGTCATATCTATAATCAATATGTGTATTTCCTTGCTTCCTCTATCTTTTTTCAATCTAAATAAATGGAAGTCAAATCAGTCCTTTCTCCTCATCATTCCAATATGTTTCCTGGTAATTCTCACCAAAGACTTTCTTATCACCCTGGTCATATCTCTTGTGCTCATCTTGACCTGAAATTTGCACTGGGTCCTCATCCATTTTTTATAACTGTCTTCTCTCGGCTACATAACCCCTCAAAATATTGTTCTTATTACTCTTTATCACTTGTCACATATTCTAAATCTTTTCCCTACCTTCCCCTTCCTTACCTACCTTGCCTTTCAAAAATCTTTCTTGTGAAATACCTGAAGAACTATTCCTTAGTCTTAATGTTTGTTTTATTTACTTCTACTTAAAAATGTTTTTGCTTGCCAAGGTTATGCCTATACTGTGTATCCTCCACTCAATATTTGAGCTATAATCTATATCACTATCTAATGAGCAAGAATGGCTGTAATAAAGGATTTCTACCAATAAGCTTTGGAATCCTCCACACAATTTCTTATTTCAGAATTTGACAGTCTTTTCCTCAGTTGTTAAACCACAGGTGAGTGTTGCAGTGGCCCACGCCTGTAGTCCCAGCTCCTCGAGAGGCTGAGGCTGGAGGATCGCTTTAGTCCAGGAGTTCTGGGCTGTCTTGCGCTACACTGATCGGGTGTCCACACTAAGTTTGGCATCAATATGGTGACCTCCCGGGAATGGGGGACTACAAGGTTGTCTAAGGTAGGGGGAAATATGGTGGAATGAGAATGTGTGAAGGTCATGCCAAGATGGCCGCTGACAAATGTGGTAGAATGAGAAGGTGAGAAGGTCATGCCAAGATGGCCACTGACAACAGAAACTGCCTGGCAACAGGTCGTGATTGGATGGCTTCAGAAACCACATGACAACAGAGCCTGACTGACAACAGGCTGTGATTGGATGGTTTTGGAAACTGCCTGGCAACAGCCTGTGATTGGTTAGGGCATAGACCGCCCCTTGACCAGGTTGCCTGCCTTGGCTATCTAAGCAGCTGTAGCAACTGAAATAAACGAGTCTGCAGGCTGCTCGCCTCTGGCCCACTTTCACCTGACTCCCGGGGTCTGTGTGGTGACTCCATGCCTCTTGCCCCCACCTTGTTCCTCCTCTCAGAAATGAATCCACAGCAACAGGTGAGTAATTTGCATTGATGAATACATATATATTATTCTTTCTATTTAATACAACATTAATACTTACATCAGTTTACTAAGATACATCCTGGATATGCTCACCTTTTTTTTCCTCCTCATATACCTGCCCTTTAACAAGCTATCATTAGCAACCACTTAGGCTCTGGAATAGCATGATAATCTCCCTTCTGTTTTTACATTTTCATGTAGAAGTAAAAAGAGCATTTGAAATCATAAGTTATTTTATATAGCAAATCAAAACTATTAATTACAATGAATTCAAATATATGCATAATAAAATCCAAATTCTTTGGGCCCTTGAGGACTAATATGCCCTGACTTAAGATTTCATCTCTGAAATTATCTCCGGCCAGTGCCATGGCTCACTTGGTTAATCCTCCACCTGCGGTGCTGGCATCCCATACGGGCCTTGGGTTCTAGTCCTGATTGCTCCTCTTCCAGTCCAGCTCTCTGCTGTGGCCCGGGAGGGCAGTGGAGGATGTCCCAAGTGCTTGGGCTCCTGCACCTGTGTGGGAGACCAGGAAGAAGCACCTGGCTCTTGGCTTCAGATTGGTGCAGCACCGTCCATAGCAGCAATTTGGGGAGTGAACCAATGAAGGGAAGACCTTTCTCTCTGTCTCTCTGTCTCTCTCTTGGTGCCTGTAACTCTACCTCTCAAATAAATTAAAAAAAAAAAAAGAAAGAAATTTTCTCCTAAATTTATTTTCATAACTCACTAAACTGCAGTTTGATAAACCATCTAACCATGCTGACTTTCAATCGCACTGAATTTGTGATTCCTTTACTCTTGATCTCAGCCAAAAGTTCAAGAAGCAATGAGTACTTTAACACTATCATTCCATTTCTCTCCTGAGGCGTTTTCTTCTCTTCTCTCTCTCCTCTCCCCCTCCCCTCTTCTCTCTTCTCTATCCAACTTCTTATAACATCCACTTAATGTTGGCTTCTCCAAAGGCATTTGCCAACCATCAAACATAATAATATTTTGCTTTCTGTATTTCTACTCTTTGATGTCTTTTATCAGAGAAATTATGTTAACTGATATTTTCTTGCCTCCTTCTTTAATTTGTACATTTGCTATTTTGTCAGCCAGATTATAATACACAGAACAGCAGCATTTCTGTTCACAATTGTATCCAAAATTATTTGAAAATATTTAGCAGATGGTTAGTGAAGTGATATACTCAAAATTCCTTCATGAAATGCAAATTCAACTGATATTATTTCAAATTTTTGTATTGATCCAAATATAAATCCAGGTTCCACTTACTTGATGGTGGTGAAAAATTCAATCTCATTCATGTTATTTTTAGTCCTTTTCTGAAGATGAACAGAAAAATAAATGCTAGAGAATCTGGGTTTCCTGGACTTCACCTTACAATAGTCAGTTTTTCGTTTTCCTCATGAAAGTTTCTTGACAATGTGGAAACAGAAATTTGTAAATACAGGAGGTGTCCATCACAGGTTTCCCTTCAATTGAGTTTAGATAAAAAGTTACATTAAAAGGACTTTTTTCCAGTTTATGGAATTTTCAGTCATATAACACAAAAGCTACTAGTGACTCCTCATCTCTGTCTGAGTACCCAAATACATAGATTTAGCTTTTTCTTGAGGTAGCAGACCAGGAAAGAATAAATATCTATTCTTTTCGAATCTCTATAGCAGAAAATAACAGTAACACTCATATGAATTACCCAACTATAACTGTATTTTAAACATGAATAAGCAATATTCAATCCAATTTGGGTAAATAAAGCAAGAAATTCTTAGTTTTGTTCATTTATAAAAAATTCTAGGCCAGCACTGCGGCTCAATAGGCTAATCCTCCACCTAGCGGCGCCGGTACACCTGGTTCTAGTCCCAGTCGGGGTGCCGGATTCTGTCCCGGTTTCCCTCTTGCGGGCCAGCTCTCTGCTGTGGCCAGGGAGTGCAGTGGAGGATGGCTCAAGTGCTTGGGCCCTGCACTCCATGGGAGACCAGGAGAAGCACCTGGCTCCTGCCTTGAGATCAGTGCGGTGCGCCGGCTGCAGCGCGCCAGCCATGGCGGCCATGGAGGGTGAACCAATGGCAAAAGGAAGACCTTTCTCTCTGTTTCTCTCTCTCACTGTCCAGTCTGCCTGTCAAAAAAAAAAATTCTTCATCAGCCCTTGAGGCATTCAGATCTGGCTAAAAAGCCCATGAGAATTTTTCAGGCATGGAAAGCTAAGACACTCTGCCAAAAAAAATGACCTAAATGAAGGATCTCTGTGAGTGATATCACAGCGGAAAGAATGGATCATCAAAGGAGGTACCTTTCTCTAAAGGGAGAAGAGAACTTCCTTTGACTATGACC